TTTTGATGTTTCTAGTTGTCATCAAAGCTTATCTGCTAGATCCTTAGATGCTAAATCACAATTGGAGAATGTGATTTCAATTCTTGATGATGTAACTGTTGCATCGAAAACAAAAGTGAAAACTGTTGATAGCTCTGCTACTAATGCTATTAAATCCCCAATTGCTTCTCTGGATCCTAAGGAATCAAAGGAAATTCCAGTGAATCTTGGGGAAAAAAACAAGAAGAGTAGTAAACATCAATTTGCCGATAACAGGAAAGTTGGTAGTGGCTTAAATCTGAATTTTGTAGATCCTGAAGAAAAAGATTTTGTGGCTTTTAATGAAGAAGAATGGAATGAGGGTAACTCAAACTGGCAATTCTCTTTAATTGGCCAAGTTTTAGGCCTAAATGTCAAATTCAAGGCTATGGAAAGTTACATTCAAAAAGTGTGGACACACTAGTCAGTTCCTGATTTGTGTATTCTTAAGCATGGCTTGTTCTTGTTCAAATTTCAAAGCAAAGAGGATATGGAGAATATTCTTAGGAATGGTCCTTGGTTTTTTGGTTCAAGACCCCTTCTATTGAAAATCTGGACAAATGATGATGATTTTGACAAGTTAAATGGTAATGTTTATCCCCTGTGGATTCAACTTCCTGGCTTAAGACTGAATCTGTGGAGCTCAAATGCCATAAGCAAGATTGCTAGTCATATTGGTAGGCCTATTACCACTGATAAACTCACTGCTAATAAGCAGAGATTGGCATATGCTAGGGTCTTGGTTGAGGTAAATATGCCCTCCCCCCTTCCTGATTTGATTCCTATACATGGACCAAATGGAAAGATTGTAAATCAAAAAGTGATATATGAGTTGAAACCTAAATGGTGTGAAAATTGTAAGATGGTGGGACATGATACAACCTATTGTAGGAAAAATTCTAGGACACAAATATGGAGGCCAAAAGAGAAGACTGTTAGTTATGTTGTCTCTGGTGTTTTGAACAAAATGGCAGGAAATGATGCTATGGCAGTTCAAGCTACACAACAAGAGCTTTTTTCTGGGTTGCATTATACTTCCAAGCTGTCTGAAAATCAAATAACTCAGATAAGTGGAGAAATCAAGGGGAAAAAGGTTGTGCATGCTGTGCATGTTTCAGAGATTCCTGCAGGCAAAACTTCTGTTGGGCAGTCTTCTGAGAAATTCTCATTACCTTCTCTAGCTAGGCATAGTCAGGATAAATTTGTGGGTGTTTCCATAAGCTCTCAACCTATAAAATCAAGACTCATTATGCAGAAGCCTGGGCTTAGAGTTTTGGGAAATTCTTTTGATTTTCTAAAAGACATGGATGATAATCCCTCTACAGTAGACAGGGGGGGTTTTGCAAGTTTATGAATCTCTCTTTTTGGAATATTAGAGGACTAAATAAGTCTTCTAAGCAGCATCTTGTCAAGCTTCATATGCAACAGAATTATATATCTTTTATGGCTCTCTTTGAAATAAAAATCAAGACAAATAAGCTACCTATTGTAACTAGGAAAATTGCAAACACCTGGAAGTGGTATTCAAATGATCTTAACTCTAGCAAAGCTAGAATTCTTCTTCTTTGGGATCCTAATAGTCTGGAAGTTCAAATTGAAAGTCAATCATCTCAACATATCACTTGTGTAGTCAGATCTTTTGATGGCAGAATTGATTGTCTTATAACTTCAATATATGGTCATAATCATCTGGAAAATAGAAGAGACCTTTGGCAGAAGCTAAAACAAGTCAGGTTATCTGCTGGAAATAAGCCTTGGATTCTTTGTGGTGATTTTAATACTATTACTGGTAGTGATGATAAACTGGATGGTGCAGTGGTAACTGAGGCTGAAACCATGGATTTCAGGAATTTCATTGATGATTGCCACCTATCTCACATGAAAACAGAAGGTTGTCATTTTACTTGGAATAACAGGCAAGAAGCAAACTCAAGAGTTTGGAGTAGGTTGGATCGAGCCTTGGTAAATGATGCTTGGCTAAATTTTTATAATTCCAGTCATGTGGAATTTTTCCAACCTAATTGTTCAGATCATTCCCCAGCTTTGGTTTCAGTGTATGATGATTGTGATCAAGGTAAAAAGCCTTTTAAATTTTTCAAGATGTGGATTAAGCATGAAGATTACATTCCCACTGTCTCTTCTATCTGGAAAACTCCTATTACTGGCTGTAAGATGTTCTCTGTTGCTAGCAAACTGAAACTTTTGAAGGTTGCTCTGAAGGACCTCAACAGGAGAAATTTTCATAATATAAGTGAACAAGTAAATAGGGCAAAGATAAATCTGGACAAAATTCAAAGCAATCTACAAGCTGATCCTCTCAATTCAGTACTCATTGCACAGGAGAAAGAATGCATAGTCACTTATAACAGATTGTTGGAGTGTGAATTGTCTTTCTATCAGCAAAAATCAAGGATACAATGGATAGTGCAGGGTGACAGATGTACAAGTTACTTTCATTCTTCAATCAAGGCTAAGAGGCATCTCAATAGAGTTAATCTACTATATAATAGTGCAGGTGACAAGATTACTGATGGTGAGGGAATCATTCAAGAATTTATCTCTTTTTATAAGAATCTTATGGGATCAAAAACTGTTACCCCAAAGCCTGACTGTAAAGTCATTAGCAAAGGGGTCTGTTTAAATGAAGCTCAAGCAATTGCACTCTCCTCTGCTGTGACTAGGGAGGAAATCAAAAAAGCTGTTTTTTCCATGGATGATAATAAAGCTCCAGGTCCTGATGGATTTAATATGTCCTTTTACAAGTCTGCATGGAGTATTATAGGAGATGAAGTTTCACAGGCAATTCTTGATTTTTTCAGAACTGGGAAGCTGCTTGGTATGATAAACTCAACTTCCATATCTCTAATTCCTAAAGTGAAATGTCCAAAGACCCCTTCTGATTTCAGACCTATTGCTTGTTGTAACTGTCTATATAAGATCATTTCGAAAATTCTAGCTAACAGGATAAAGACAGTGATGGGATTTTTGATTAATGAGGCTCAAAGTGCCTTTGTTAAAGGAAGGCAAATATCAAGTAATATCTTGATGGCTCATGAGATTGTGAGGAGCTATGGCAGGAAGCACAATTCACCCAGGATCATGATGAGTATAGATATCAAGAAGGCTTTCGATACTATAAGTTGGAATTTTCTTAGAGATATGCTTACTGGTCTGGGGTTCCCTGATATCTTTACAAACTGGATCATGGTGTGCATTACATCCCCAAAATACTCTATTTCTTTAAATGGCACACTACATGGTTATTTCAAAGGAGAAAGGGGTTTGAGACAAGGTGATCCTATCTCTCCCTATTTGTTTACACTGGGTATGGAGTTCCTGTCAAGAAAATTAGACATGCTTAAAGAGGACAGATCTTTTAAATTTCATCCTAGGTGTGGTGAGTTAAAAATCACTCATCTAATATTTGCAGATGATCTCCTCCTCTTTTCTAAGGGTGACATTCAGTCTGTTAAACTTCTTTTCAACTGCTTCAAGGAGTTTAGTGAGGTATCAGGTCTGGTTGCAAATCCAGAAAAATGTAAGATCTTTTATAGTGGTGTTGATGAACATACCAAAAGCTTGATTAGTAATCTCCTGAACTTCACAGAGGGTGCACTGCCCATCAATTACCTGGGGGTTCCTTTGATATCCAAACGATTATCATATACTGATTGTTCTCCTCTTTTAAACAAAATCTCAGATCAATTACAAGCTTGTCTGAAAAATAGAGCTCTGTCTTTTGCTGGCAGATTACAAATTATTAAGAGTGCTATTCTTGGCATCCAGATATATTGGACTTCAAATTATATTCTTCCTGTTAGAGTATTGCAGAAGATTGATCAAATGTGCAGGAACTTTCTATGGGGCAAAACAGATCAAAAACATAAAATTCCTCTGGTTTCTTGGGATAAAGCCTGTTTGAGTAAAAGGCATAGGGGTCTTGGCATCTACTCAGCAACAATTTGGAATATGGCAACTATGCTGAGGTTAATGTGGCATATCCATGTTAATAAAGAGAGTCTATGGATCAAATGGATACACAGTGCATACTTAAGAAATGATGATATATGGCATGTTCAGGCTAAAAACTGGGACTCATGGATGTGGAAGAAAATTTTGAAAATCAGAGATAAAGCTGTTAGCTTTTGTGGAGGTCTAAATAACTTGTTGCTGCTCATCCAATCTTGCTCTGAAAATTCTAGAATCCAGATTTCAGCATTGTACAATGCTCTCTCCCCTAATTCTTCAGTTGTGCCATGGCATAGAACAGTTTGGGAGACTACAAACTTCCCCAGTCACTCTTTTATCTGTTGGTTAGCAATCCAAGATAGGTTGCTTACTATCGACAGACTGATTAAGAGGGGATTAATGAACTCTAACAATTGTTGTCTGTGTACTGGTTCTGAAAACAGAAACCATCTTTTCTTTGAGTGCTGCTATTCAAGAGAAGTGTGGCTAAAAATTATGGATTGGCTCAGTTTCAAATGGCAGTCCTGTGATTGGAATCAGATTGTGATTTGGTACTGTGATAGACTGAAGGGTAATGGTTTCAAGCAAAGGATTAAAAAGATGGCTCTAACTACAGCAGTTTATAGTATATGGAGAGAAAGGAATTTCAGGATTTTCAGGCAGAAAGCAAGGCCAGCTGATCAGCTTTTTAAAGATATCAAATTCAGCATTTATTCTTTTGTTCTCAATGGCTCTTTTAAGGCAGAAGACAGAGAATGGATCATTTCACTATGATAGTCATTGAAGAGAGCAATTAGCAGGTTTTAACTCAGCTGCTGTTAGTTGCTGTTGAGGAGAGCAGGTTTTACTCAGTTGCTGTTAGTGGCTGAGTTTTTTGATTGAGTTCTATTTTCTTTGAACTCTTAATGTCAGTTTTGATATCTCATACATATGATGAGATTCTTGATGTACATTCATTTTTACATTTGGTGATGAATAAAATCTTTCATTTACCAAAAAAAAAGTATAAAATTTCTATTTCAAGTAGTATGATACTATATTTGAGATCTACTAAAATAAGTTTTAACTTGTGTTGGAAGGCACAAGACTATGAATCAGTTACTTATAAACAGCATTAATAAGACATTGCAAATATTTTGACAAACACGTTATCCAATATAGCTGAAAGGAAACTAACATTGTTATCACATGATTTGATCTTCAGCCTCCACAACTACTTTAAAAAATAGGCTAAAATGTTATAATCCGGAAATTACCTTTGTTGCACAATGAGCCCATGATGAACCTGGTGCTGAAAATTTGTTGCACAATGAGCATCTGCCATGATGGAATTTGTAAAGGACGGCCATGATCTGCAGATGCAGCGAAGGAGCATAGTCAGCAATGTGAGTCAGTTTGATGTACATGGATTCTGATAAATCTGGTGAATATAAAGTGAGTAGAATAAGATATCTCCGAATATATTTTCTTCAAATTCAAAGGTTCTTGACACTCACACTTCTGCATGCATGTCCGTGAGGCACATGCATGCATTACACACCCATACATGCACTATATATGCATGCATGAACACAACTCGCATACATGAATGCATGTGCGCACACACAAACACACATGCACAGGCATGGGCAATGACAATTTTTAATATTATCATTATCTATATATAGAATATTCAGATTCTATGTTATTGCTATCTCAAATTTTTGAGAAAAGTTTTCAAGTTTCAGATTATCTTTTTTTTACTGTTGATTCTAAATTTGAGATCTCTTAAAACCAACATGATCCAGCAGCCATTTTTTAGAAACAGGTACGAATTCCTGAACAAGGGGAAAGGCAAAGAAGTTTGATCAAGGTGGATCTTTTTTTCTTTTTGGATGTGCCAAAAAGGAAAAAGGCAAAGACTACTTCTTCATCATGTATGCTTTTTCCCCCTACATATACATTAGCCACATAATTTGTCTACATTTGCCACATAAATTATATACACATGTAATCAGGTTATACTTGCACAAAATCTTGTATTTGTCTCGCTTAGAATCCGTAGAGCCTGGGAATACAATAAATTTACACATCATCATCCTATATCTACTATATATGTTTTATTAGGCAAATGGAAATAAGGGTTTAAGTTTAAGTCATTGATGTTATAGCCGCTGGTTGATGGCATAACATATCCATTTTCATAAATAATTAAACAAGGTCATCTGCAAAATGAAACATGATTGAGCAAGAAAAGTTGGAAGAGTTAAGGATTCTGTTAACAAAGCAAGAAAAATGGCTTGTAAAAAACTTCTCTTTTCAGAAAGAAAAACCATTACAAAATATAACAAGTTTTAGAAACTAGGCAAGAGTGCAAGGAAAGTCTAGCACAACAAATGGGTCTTCAACAAGTTTTTATTCAAAAAGTGTATCGGCTAGCTCCAAAAGAAGACAGAATAAGGATTGTTTTGAGGAAGATACATACAATGTTTTAAATATTGGTTTGTGGGGATTTATCGGGCGGTCAAAATTCATATCAAATAGCGGATATCTGGGATAAGTAGTATTTATCAGAGTGACATTACCGGATGGTGATATACATAATATAATATATTAAAATTTAATCTAACCATATGTAATGAAATATAAACATACCAAAATGTAAATGTAAAAAATTATGTTTAGAATCACTAACCAAAGGTAAAACTCAGGTCGGGTCGGGTTTTAAAGTCCATTCAATAGGTGCCCGTTACCCGAAGTCAAAACTCAAACAAAGGCCGATAATTCCTATTTTTGGGCCGACAATATCGGCCAATAACTCACTTTATCGCCGCATTATCAGCGATAAACTTCCAAAAACGATAACCGATTTAGAATCGAACTTATCATAGCGGAAGGCCCCCAAAACCAATAATTCGCCGATAATATCGGTTTATCGGCTGATATTTAAAACATTGGATACATATGATTGTTATAAAAATTTTACCTTAATTACCATGCATATATGTTATTGATATGCTCGTAATCTGCCGGAAGTGTTTGTTGGTGAATAAAAGAATGTTCCAGCCTACAAGGACAAATAATTGATTAAAAATTTGTTAGGCTCAAATGTCAATTAAGTAAACAACAGTTGCTAGAAATGTCACCTTAATTTCTTTCGACGCACAACCCATACTATCCACTCTGATGTTCTCTTGTAACTTCTTCTTGACATTGTCATCATATATTTTCTATAGTTTCATTGCCGGTATTTATGTTTACTCATCACTTACTAATTCCAGTCATAGTGTGCGAATTCTGAAATTTATAGTTTGCACATGCTCCAGGTTTGATTATACTGTCAACTCTGATCGATCTGCTAGATTCTACAAATCTAAAGGACGGATGTCTAGAGCCAGGATATTCTGGCATCCGAGCAAAGCTCTGTGGCCCAAAACAGCCGCCTCAGGACTTCATGATTCAGGTGAGTCTCTATGCTAATGTAATGTTTAGAAATTAATTTGGCGCATCTTTATTATTTCTTTCTTTGGCATGCTTGTTGATGTCTGAATTAAACCTTACTTTTCTTTCTTGATTTCTGAACTGGGTCTTTTTCATTTTGTACATAAATTTATTTGTTTCAGACTATGAAGAACAGAGATGCATAGCCTCAGGCATTACGAATGCAATATGCAACATCCCCCTAAAAAACCCAAAACAGGGCGCATAAAGACCGGCCCTCCGAATCTACCCATCAGGCCAATGTAACGGCCGACGCTCCTTCAGTTTCAAATCAAGCGCAAAAGTACGGCCATAATAGACGTCAAGAACGTAAAAAGATTCATTCTTTGAGCAAGCAATGCGGGTGTTTGCGGAGCAAACCTCACTGAGGCCGGCGATTCCACCGACAGTGCTCCAGCTGCCGGTATCCGACGAGAAGACGCCGACCTCGTCGGAGCCCCAGCGGCGCACGGGATCATCCCCCGGCAACGGGAAAGATACGATCTTGAAGGAGCGGGTATCGGAATTGGGATTGAAAGCAAGGGCCAGCTCGATGGAAGCCCTGGGCGGCTTTGGGATTTTCGCCCGCTTTTGGATTTGGCCAGATCGACGAAGGATCGAGAAGCGAGGGAGACGAATTTGGGGCTGGCGCCGGCGGAGAAGAGGCCGGCCATCGCCGGCGGCAGCTTCTTGTGGGATTGGGGGTCGGAGATTAGGGATCGCCATGATTTCGACACGCACTGGAATCTGAGCAAGGATCTGATGGGTAATTTTGATAGGATTTCTAACAAAACATCATCGGGATGATGATGATTCAGCGTGGCGTTAAGATAGTCTATTGAAATCTTACAGAATATGTTTACGCCGTGATTACAGAATATGTTTTTTTTTTTGGGCAACATACCCGAAATCATTAATAAATTTAGAGTTTTGATGCAATAATAAGCATTTTAAAGATAATAATTGTTTTCAAATAAAAGTTCTGATAGATGTTGTCTTTAATATTTTACCCTTTTGTTAATTACATTAGGAGTCTTGAAACTTTAGGAAGCCTTATACGTCTATATATAGACCCAGGACAATTATTTTCTCACCTTCTCTCTCAAAGTTGATCAATGGAGCGAATCCCTAAAGAATTGCTTCTTGAAGTCCTCTCTAGAATTCCGACCAAGTCTCTCCTTCGTTCCGCCTGTGTTTCAAAGGCATGGCGAGATATTATACACAAGGACCATCATCTCCGAAGCCTACATTGCGACCACTTGCCCTCTGACAATCCTACGCCTCTCTTCTTCTCCATCCGAAGGAACGTAAACATCTCCATCATTGCCGTCTCCTTGGCCCAAGACTACGTCGCAGGGAAGCCTAAGATATGGTATATCCTCAAAAGACAGTCATTCGCTAAGTGGAATAACAGTACGTGGAACGAGGACGACTACAAGCTCGCTAACACCTGCAACGGACTTCTCTGCTTCAGGCCTAATGATTACCGGCAACCTATTGAGATCTGTAATCCCCTCGGTGCTGAGTACAGCACGCTTCCTCCTTACCCGATGCAGGATATTTTCAGTTGCTCAGTCGGACTGGGCTTCAGTCCCTCAACGAAAGAGTACAAAGTAGTCGTGATTGCTAAAGATCATGGCTACAACTTTTCTCGCCCAGAAGAAGGGTCCCCGGGCAAGCTATCCATACGCACTCTGGGCGCCGAAGAGTCATGGAGAGATGTCGGAGATATTTATTTCAATACACGCCATGGTCCTATTTATATCGACGGGAAGATACACTGGACAATCTCCTATGCTAATTCATCAACAGATTTGCACCTGTTATCTATCGACCTCGGAACTGAAGAGGGTAAGGTAATAGACAATGTTCCGAACGACGACGGTCAGTTGCAGCTCACACAGCTCAAAGAGGGCATCTCTGTCATCATTACTTCAGAGTCGGACATCAAGATATGGACTCTCAAGGAATACCACAACATAATTTCCTGGGAAAGAACGCATATCATTGAGCTCCCCCGCGCACCGGCAGGGACACCTTCCAGGTTTCCGAGACTCGTTGGCCTGTGGCAACGCGACGATGCTTTGCAGGTTTGGTTACACGATGTGATGATCCTGTACGATGAAGCAAAGAATTCTGAAGAAGGGTGCAAGATGTACGAGGAACCTGCAGTTTCAAGTACCTGGCGTCTTCACACAAGTTACATGCCGAGCCTTGTGCCTCTGAAACGAATAGGCTGTGAAAGCAAGAAGGTATTTGCTGATCAAAATCATTTGATTCAACACGAGGAACTACCACCTAACTGTACTCCTAAAAGGGTAGTCATTGAATTAAATCTTTAGATTTTCTTCGTTCTTGTATTCAATAGAGTGAATAGTTTTATGTAATACTGCCACAGAATCTGAATCTACAATGATCTTTACATTCCTTGTAACTTGAGCGACTGTAACATATCAAAAAGACTAATCATCCTTCTTGTTTCTCTAGCGCGAATGCAGTAGTTGATAGAGCATTGATAAATAATTGAATTGGAAAGTGAACTATGCTTCGTTCTTGTATTCAATAGAGTGAATACTGCCACAGAATCTGAATCTACAATGATCTTTACATTCCTTGTAACTTGAGCGACTGTAACATATCAAAAAGACTAATCATCCTTCTTGTTTCTCTAGCGCAAATGCAGTAGTTGATAGAGCATTGATAAATAATTGAATTGGAAAGTGAACTATAACATATCAAAACTAGGCATACTTTTAGTATAAATATTGAAGTCTCACAGCATACGTTTCACGGTTCTCATTAGCATCCTTCACGGAAAAGATCGTTGATTTTATTCCATTCGGAAAAGATCATTGATTTTATTCCATTGCAGCGTTGTAGGTTGACGAGCATGAATACAATGCGATATCGAAATAAACAAACAAGGAGAAAAAACAGAGAAGAAAAGACTTTATGAGCTCTGCTGGATCATTCTTGAGAACAATCCTATATGTGCAATCAAAAATACCACCGTTAATGCAAAGCAGTTACAAACTTACTATCCATCTAACATAGTTAATAAACTACTTCGTATTTCATTGCGCGAATCCGGGCAGAGAAACACGGTAAATAAACGATCCAAAGGTTATTAGCGAAAAGAAAACGAACAAAAGAGAAGAGTTCTTTGGAAATCAAAATACCACCTTCAATGTAAAACCAGTTGCGAAATGACAATCCATCTCTGCTTAAAACATAACATGAAACAGAAAGCAATCTTTTGAGCTAGAAAAAACTCGAGATACAATCCTTCGTATTTCATGGGCAAACTTGGCAGAGAAAGGCATCAGATACAGACACACAATTCAACACAGTGAACATAAGCAAGACGACATTCCCAATCAAAATTTCATAGAGATAAACCACTGAAATCAGTGAAAGACCCCACAAACGTCCAATGTTTTAACAACTTTAAACTCCCAAATACGATAATAATACCTACTAAAGACCAGACAAAATGTCCGGATCAATGAAATCATAATTATCAATCGTTAGTGTGATAATCTTCCCGTTCGAAATATCTACGAACATCTAAATCTCAACATGCAAGTGAAGAATTGTCCGATAGAATATTCTGCATTCGGAAAGCGTGAGGCTGTCCTCCAGCTCTGTGACATCACAAAAAAAGCCTTTGTTTGGTTGCATCAATATCCTTCATACCCTCAACTATCAGCTTGATATCTCGGATAGTATACCAAGATCTTGCTTCAAGTTTTATAAGATACCCATTCATTGTGCGGATCAAGATATCAAACTTATCCACTAGACATAGAATCATCTGAAGGGTTGAACCATTTTGTATATTGCAAGCAAGTAATGAATGGTTATCTTCAAGAGATTTTCCCATGTAGACGAGTCCTTGACGATTCTGAGAAATTCCCTCCATAGCTTCAATCCTAGCCTTCACATTTTGGATGGTATCTTTGTCCTTCACTACGAGCTTCAAAGTTTTCCCAGTTGTAAGGATCTTTACAAATATTTGCATAGTGCCTCCAAACAAAAGGTTGATCATGGAATTTTGGGAGATGTTGTAGTCAGCTAGTGTCTTCGATGCGTCACTTAGGTGATTGCCTTCAAAAAATAGCTCTTGATTGTTCGCGGGCATTCCCTCTCTTGCATAAACCTTGGTTTTGATGGCTTGAATTGTGTCTGACATGTTTACCTCCATCGTCACAATTTTTTTCAATTTTTAAGTTGATCTGAAACTGTAGCATCAAGAAATAGAATAAAATGATAAGTGAACAATTTAATGCAATGAGAAAAAAAATTAATGCCTAGTTATAAAGGCAAAAATAAATAAACGCACATAAGAAGGACAACTAAGCTAAGCTAAAGTGGCAGAGCTCTTAACGTAATGGGGATTCTCATAGCTGATATAATAATAGGAAATGCTAAAATTCCCAAAAAGTTTCCATGCAAAACAATTGATGGATGATTAACATAAAATGAGAAACAAAAGCTGAAATTATTTATCAGTAGGTTCTCAACCAGTCCAAAACTTCCAGATATCCAGATATTAGTTGTCACATGTATTTTCTTCGTATATTTGTTCCAAAATATGTAGAACATGATCAGCCATGTTTTAGAACTAAAGTTGCAAAGCCACCCCTTAGAAATATCATTGCAATGACAGGAGGCATCTGGCAACTGAAAGTGAAGGTTAAAGTGTGAAACAATGGAATCACTTTCGACAAACATTAATATATGAGCTAAACACAAACTCCTATCATGAATCTAATGATGTTGAAGAAAGTCAGAGCTGTTTTTGTTGTGTTATGCCTAAAGGGAAATGTATTCACAAGCACGAGCACACACAAAGAAGAAGAACAAATGAACATTGTTGGGAAGGCATGAATATAAGATATTTTCTAGTAGTTGTGAATTAGAAAATAATCCAAAGTAAATTGAGGCTAGCAAAGATATCCTGAGATGCCAGAGATTAACCTCACTAATCCTCCTCGGTCCTTCAGAATACAAAGTCCAAAGTGAATTTTGTTATTTCCTTCATGAACCCAAAAAAAATTCTGACAGATTTTATGATATAATGAAATAAAGACCAAGAAAGATGGTAGAAAGACATGAAGTAGACTGCTAATGAGGAAAGA